GATTCCGGGGATCAAACCCGGGTCTGCCATGTGCAAGGCAAACATCTTCACTACATCCCACCCAATGTACTATCTCTCCAGCCCCCCAGGCACAGTTCTGTCTACCATCATTTTCCTGGATCCATCCAGCCTGCCCTTGAGGGATCCCCAACTCCCTGACTAGCACCCAGGAGGTGATCCTGTTGTGAAGTGGTGACTGGGCCATAGGCAGGTCACAGCTGGGTGCCTTCCCTGAGAAATGGCTGCACAAAGGCTGGTCCAGCGGGGCCAGGGTGGGCCTCCCTGTCTCCAACAGTTCCTTGACTGCCGCGCACTGTGTTGGAGCTGGTGATCTGCTTCTTCTCCATCTGGTCCATCCTGGGCCTCTCAGGGTTTCACACTTACCTCGTCGCCTCCAACCTGACAACCAACGAGGACGTGAGTAGGGCTTCAGCAGTCCCCCTTCTAGATGAGATCCTCTAGGAGGCAGGGCCAGGGCTCCACAGCAGGCCTCCCAGCACACTGAACCATGCTCTGCAGGGGTGCGGGCCGCACAGGCGCCTTTCTTGCCTCCAGGGTTCACGCTTGGGCCTGGGTGATGCAGGCGGGCTTCTGAGGCCCACATCTGCCTCTGCCCTCAGTACAGGCTCCTGGGACCCTACAGAGGCAGCATCTCTGCCTGGCAGCCATAGCCTGCCAGCTCGTTTACATTTCCAGTTCTTTTGCTTTCTTTGGGTCCTTCAGCTCTGAAGTGAAGGGACAGGGACTTTTTCTTTGCTAGTGGCTCAGTGGCTTGTCCTGGGCCACACATCCGGCAGGTAAGACCCGGAACACTTGCCCAGAGCTGTGGCTGAGGGCTCTGCCACCATACTGCGCTGGCAGGCAACTTAGGGTGTTTCTTTGGCATTCTTGTGGGGGGCTGTGGGGAGATACAGTTCACTGGCAGGGCTCCCGAATGCATAACTTATTCCCCAGCCCTTGGAGCCATCTCCCTGCCCTCCTCCATATTCTCAGTAAGGAGAGCGGCCAGGCTACCACCTGCCCTCCTCCCCCCTCCCCCCCCCCCCCCGTGCTACCTACAGTTTGAACATTTGCTGTGTGCCCAACCCTGGACCAGATCTGACCACACTGTAGAAAAGAAAGTGGGGGGAAGCAAGTGAGGGGTCAGAACTGTAGTACAGCGGGCAGGGTGCGGCCAGCTGAGCACCACCGGGTCTATCTCCAGAACAAAACAAGCAAGTGAGGACATCTGTTCCGACTTCTGTAGCCCATTCTAGAAGTCCCGTTTCATAGAAGAAAATGTTTTCCTGAATACTCCAGCCTGTCATTTTTGTGGAGGAAACAAATATGCCACGTATGCCAGAGGATCTAGTGCTGGGGATCGGTACAGAGAAGGAAGAGGCCACAGTGCCTCCTGTCCATCCGGCCCGGGTCCTGCTGGATAGACCCATCATAAGCAGACATGCTTGGAAAACACCCAGTAAAACGGGATCCTTGACTGCTGAATGCCTCAGAGTAGCTTTCTCAAGCAGAGGGGCAGGATTTCATCCCGCACTCCCACAGACCTGCTGGGGGTTTGGTATCAGTGGGACAAAGGTTGAGATGCAAGTGGTAACATGAGCAGGGTCTGGCATAGCTGTGAGTCGGTGGCAGGGCCGGAGTTCACCGCTGGCTGAGCCCTTGCTGCCCCTCTTAAGTGGCTGAGCAGAGAAGGGCGGGGGCACCCACAGGTTTTTGTCTGGCAGCTTCTCTCTCACTCTGTTCTTCAGTCCTGGTTTGGCCCTTGCACCATGCAGTCCCCTACATCTTCACTACGTCCTGAGTTTAAAACTCTACCGTATCAGAACTGGCTTCAGAATTCCTCAGTCTTCCCCATCTCAATGCCTCAGCCCTAGAAACAGGTGTTGGAAGTAGGTGCCTGACCCAGACCTTCCTGCTTGCAGATCAAAGGCTCGTGGTCCAGCAAGAGGGGTGGCGAGGCCTCGGTCAATCCCTACAGCCATAAAAGTGTTATCACAAACTGCTGCTCCGTGCTCTGCGGCCCCCTACCTCCCAGGTAAGCTGAGGGGACAGGCAAGGTCCTGGTGCCCAGCCTGGCACAGCTCTCTGGGTTTGGGGTGTTTGCAGGTCTCTCCCAGTATCACACATGCCCTTGGATCTCAGCCCCAGCCTTCCTTGCGGAGAGCCCTCAAGGCATTTGTCCTGTGACAAAATTCTGTCCTTTAATTCTGTGCTCATTTTGGAAGCAAGTCTAAAATATGAGCACATGAGATGTCACCGTGATCTTACCCCCAGGGCTAACCACAGTTAATGTTTTGGCCAGGCTTGAACAACACTTTCCTTCTGGTGCTGGTGTCCCAGACTCTGGATGATGGATGTTGCCATCTGCCTCAGCCCTGCTGGGAAGTTCCCCTCCATCCTGGCACCAGGGGGCACCAGAGCGCCAGAACGGGTGTTAAATAGCCATGGACGCTGGCTGCCCGGGATGCTCACCCCTGACCCGGGAGAGAGGGAGGAGATGGGACAGTAGGAATCCTGACTGTTTCCTGACGCCCATTCCTCCTGCTTCTCCCTCCCCCGCAGCCTGCCTCCTTAACCATCTGACAGTAAGATGGGATAATTTAATAGTGAGTAAATTCTGTGTCCAAGAGCAGTTGTCCAGAGTCCTTCTGGAAGACAAGGGCCTTGTGCCTCCTACAAATAGAAGGAAGCTCTTTCTCCTCAGTCTCTCTAGGGCTGGGACTTCCCTGGCCTCAGCCACGCAGCCCTGGCCTGGAGCTCTGGGGTCTGCGGGGCCCTCAGTGTCCCCCTATGTTTGTGTTTTGGAAGCCTGATTGACCGGAGAGGATTTGTGCAGTCCGACGCTATGTTGCCCTCGCCCGTTAGAAGCGACGAGCCCACCTTTGGAGCCAAGCCTGACGCCAGCATGGTAGGCGGCCACCCCTGATCCGGCTCAGTCCTTGCCGCTCGCTGGCCTGTCCAACCCTCCGCACTCAGCTGCTGGGATCCGCCCGCACCGTCCAGGGGAGCAGAGCTGCCGACTCCAGTCTTGTCTTATTTATTTCCCACCCTGCGTGGCTTCCCCCCTTCCTGCTCCTTGGCTGTACCCTCTGCTCCTGAAACCGGGTTCCTGTGGCTAGGGGCCTAGATCCCTTTAGCCAATGAGTGACAAGAGGGCAGAGCCCGGAGACCTCCCAGGGGACCATGCCAGGTCTTCCCTACAGCTGCAGATGAGTGGGACTCTGAGAGGGGTCCTGACCCGGCCCAGCTGGATCCAGGGGGCAGCGCCTAATCTTTAGTGGTGGTCATTGTTCGTTCTTCCATGGTTTTGTGTTGTTTTGGGGGTTTGGTTTTTTCTGTCTGGACTTGCCCAGTTGGATAGAGCTGGGATTGCAAGTAGAAAGGCAGCATTGTTCGGGGCTGGAGTGATGGTGCAGCGGGTAGGGTATTTGCCTTGCACTTGGCCATCCCGGGGTTGATCACTGGCATCCCATATGGTCCCCCGAGCCCTGCCAGGAATGATCCCTAAGTTAGAGCCAGGAGTAACCCCTGAGCAACGTCGGGTGTGACCCAAAAGAAAAAAGGCAGCATTGGGCAGAAGGAAGCAGCCAGCTTCCCCGGAAACTCAGCTGCCATGTGATTCCTGGGTGGCACTCTAGGAAGGCCTGACCTTACCCTCTCTCTGCCATGGAGGGCTCTCTAAGGGACCCCAGCCTAAACCCCACCTCCTGCCTGAGTCAGGTCTCGGGGTAGGCATGTTTTGCTCACAAGCCAGCAGTACTTGAAACGGGTCGGATGCTGGGTATTTTGCACAATTTTATAGACCTCTTTTCTACATAGCATTTTTTAAATGGAAGAATTTTAAAAATAAAAAAAAAAGAAAGAAAAAAAAGAAAAAGCAGCCCCATTGCTCTCCGTGCAGTGCCAGGGCACATGCTCTTAGTTGGTTTTAGCAAGTTTAGGACAAGAGGCCTGGCTCTGGGCGCAGGTGCGTGTAAGAGCATGTGCGTGAGCGTGCCCTCTTGTGTGAGTGTGGCTGGCTCCCACCTCCCAGGGCTGCCCTTGAATGGGAGCCAGCAGCAGTCACTGCCTGCGCCGTGGTGGCGAGGAGCCTATGCATTTGGTCATGAGACTCCCATACCCCTGCCGAGCCCCCATCCTCCTCCGAGAACCAGTGACTCGGGACTCTGCCACCACTGCGCCTGCCCTCACCCCCACCACCCAACCCCCAGGCTAGGCTTCCTGCTGGGACCTGCCCAGACAGGCCGGGACTGGGTGTGGTGGATGGGGTAATGGCTGTGGAGAGCGGCTGCCTCTGACAGGCCACACCCCCTCTGAGCATGACTCCCAGTGCCAAGGAAAGGGGACAGGGCACTTTTGCCAATGGGAGCTGCTCTCCAGAAGCCAGGGAGGAAGGTGCCGGGTGGGCTGAGAGGCAGGGGTGGAGTGAGCGAATCTGGGCCAGACACAGGGCACTTCTCTGCTGGGAGTTCTCATCCCATGTCAGCATGATGGGACACTGTCCCTCTGTCCTCGGCCTTGCTAGTGGGATGGCTCCTCTTGCAGTGTCCCCCGTATCTTGGTCTGCCTTGTTCCTGAGGCCAGTAGGTCACACACCGCTTAGAAGTAGCCACAAAGGACCCCCGTCAATTAGGGTCCTCCTGGCGAGCCCGTAGTGGCCCCAGGCGGTGGGGAGGCAGCCAGCTTGAGGCAGTGATTCCCACGTCACTTCGATCTAAGCCAGTGTTCCTGTTCTTGCTTGTAATAAAACTTTTGTTTTTAAGAGTTGATTTGCTTTGGTTTGGTTTTTCTTTGCTCTTCCTTTGCTGAGGCCCCAGCCGGCAGCCCTCAGTTCTCGCAGCCCAGCCCGCCCTCTCCCGGAGTGCCAGAGCAAACAGGCAGGCCAGCACCCAGCGGAAGCTCACTCATAGGCAGGCCCCGTGTGCTGGGGCCCAAGTCGGGAGGACTTGGCCAGGCCCTGCAGGCTGCCCCCTCTTCTCTGCCTCAAGGACCTGGAGAGCCCAGGTTCTTCCCTGCTGCCTTTCTCCTCTGACCCCCGACCACCCAGTCTAAGTTTGAGAGCAGGAGCCTCCCCGGCCCCCACACCTGGGCAGCAGGGCCCAGCCAGACATCTCATAATCCTGGCCCACCTCTCTGGTATCTCCCCCAGGAGGACACCTGTCAGGATTTTGCCATCTCCTGCACAGCCTGAGGGCAGCTAACAGGCCTCTTGGCGAGGGTTAGCTGGTAAGACCGTGTCCCTCCCTGTCAGCCAGTGCTGCCGTTTCCCCCACACACCGTCTCGTCCTCATCGCATGCCTCGCCCGCCCTGTGGAGCCATTCATCTGTCTGGCGTGTGTTGTGTGTGTGCTGGGGTGGCAGGGCCCCCCCCCCCCCCCCCCCCGCCCCGGGCTCTCCTTGAGCCGAAGGATGGGGTGAGGGACTGGCAGTTCAGCTGCTCCGGACTGAGGAAGCAGCTTTGCGTAGCGCAGCGCTGGTGCCCAGCGGAAGGGAAGGGCGAGGTGGGGAGAGGGTGGTGGACCTGGTCCTAGGGGCTGGGGCCTGTCCTGGGGGGTCCTGTGGGCCGGGCCCAGTCACTCCTCTCTGTCCTGGCTTCCTCTCACCTGCCTGTTCTCTCTCCTGCTTTGTTGCCTGCTGCCCGAGCCTTGGCCCTTTTGTGGGGAAGGAAGAAGCAGGGTGGCACCTGACCCCGTTGGTCCTGCATCTCCCCCCCAATCCTGCTAATCCTCTCTCTTCTCCCCCTGTGCTTGCCTGTGGGATCTCCAGTGTGTGCGGGGGCTTAAGGACCTCCTGAGGACCGCCGCTCTCTGCCTGTCCAGGAAGGGCCTGGGGGGAGCCAGGCACCCAACACCCCCACCTGCCTAACCCGTGGCCCACCTGCCACCGTCTGTGCCTACAGGCTATGTCCCCAAGCCTGCCCCATGTGTGCTCTCTAGGGCCCTTCCCCCCCCCATAGGGACAGGGGCTGACCTCTGCCCCACGCCTGCTCATGCCCACCAGAGTATAGAAAGCCATACCCGCTGTCACAGGGTGGGTCACAGATGCCGACACGCCCGCCCACGCCTGTCCCCCTGCCGAGACTGTAAGGTGTGGAGACTGGGAATCTTGCCTACAGCCCCCCGCGCCCGTCAGGCAGAACCCCAGTCAAGCTGAGCAGGTTTCTTCAGGGGCTGTCTGGCTGGGTGGCCATGACGATGCCGATGACGCTGCTGAACAAGTTTGGTGACTGTTCTGAGTGCAGCTGGCCTGACACCGTTCCCACGGCCCCTCCGCCCCCACCATGAGAGTAGGCGGATGTGGGGAGGGTGCTGGCACCCTCTGCTCGGCGCTGAGGAACTGAGCTAGCGCCGACTGACAGCCTGTTCTTCCGAGGAATAACCGGGCAAGCCCAGAAGTTTCGCTGAGCCCCCTGGCTGGGGGCTGCTTGTCTGCTATCCTGTACCTTTATTTTTAAGCAAAATAAAGATTTCCTTCTTCTTGCCATATCTTTAGCCGTGTGACATCGCCTTTACTTTGGGTCTGGGGTGGTACTGCAGGGTTGCGTGGGAGAGCATCAGGCAACTTGTGTCTAGCCAGCTGGTTGTGGAATGTCACCCAGGTGATAGCGAAAGGGACACAAAAATGGTGGCCAGCGGCCTTCATTCTGCCCCCTCAGAACTTGTTCTTGTCCTGGGGATATGATACAGTGGGCCAGGTGCAAGCTTGAGGTGTGAGAACTCTGGGTTCAATTCCCAGCACTGCATGATCCCCAGCACCTCAAGGGTACTGGGGGCTGGAGCAAGAGTACAGCAGGTATGGCACTTGCCTTGCATGCAGCCAACCTGGATTCGAGCCCTAGTATCCCCGGAGTGATCAGGAGTACCACCAACTGTGATCTCTGAGCACAGAGCCAGGAGTAGGTCCTGTTTACTGCCATGTGTGACCCCCAAATCAAAATTGATAGGGACCCGACTGAGAGTACAGCAGGTAGAGGGCGTTTGCCTTGAACATGGCCACCGGGGTTCTTCCCTGGCATTCCATACGGCCCCCAAGCACAGCCAGGAATAATTCCTGAGTGCAGAGCCAGGAGTAACCCCTGAGCATCACCAGGAATGACCCGAAAAAAAGAAGAAAAAAAAACTCATAAAAGATAAAGCAGCGAATCCAAGATTTCAAACTGTTGGCTGCCTGGTGGGGCAGGGGATGAGAAATCCAAAAATTAGAGAATATCGGTCAGCAGGGAACTTAGGGATATCTGTGCCAGCCTCTTGCTTGCTGTTGAAATGGAGAAACTGAGACCCAGAGGTAGAAAGGGACCTGACATAGCTTCGAAACAGCCCCACACCCTGATCTCGTTCCGTTTGCTTTCCTAAACTTCCCCTTTACTTTCAGGCCTGTACTCAGCAAGATATGGATTCTCCCAACTATGGGGCACTGAGGAGAAAAGACTCAGAAGCTGAGTCATTGAGAGTGATCTTACATCCCTCCCACGGGGACTCAGAGGGTGTGCTGGGATGGCCAACTCAGCTGCACGAGGTGATGGTGGCAGAAGAAAAGGCATCCAACTTTCCCACTTACCTGCATTTCATCATTCCAACACACTTTCCTAGCAACTTCTTTCTGGCCTCTCACCAGAGTTCCTTGGGTACCATCGGAAGCCTGTCCCATTCTCAGGTGAAAATGGCTTCCTTCTCTCTACCACTGCCACCTTCAAAGCTGTTTTTCCCAGCTAAGAAGGTTGCAAGGAGACCTAAGGCTTGGAGCTCAGGGTTGAAGGGCTGCAGGACAGGAGGGTCGAGGTGGGACAGCCACAGGTGGGAGGAGGAAACCCTTTGGGCTGTAGCCCGAACTCTTAGGGCCTGCTGACTCAGGCAGCAAGCTGACTGTAGCACTCTATGCCCTGCCAGGGCCTGATGCCTCCTGCCTGCCAGGCCTCCTAGACTTGGGAAATGGACGCCTGGAGGCACAGGGAGGGGCCTGAGACAGGAACTGAGTCAGGATCAACAGGCCAGAGCGGGCAAGAGGTGTCAGGCAGCCTGGCTCCCAGATTCACCTCTGAGCTTCAGGCCAGGAGGAGCAGCAGTCAAGGGCCTGTCTTTACCTCCTCGCTTAGGGCTGTACTGAAGGCAAGGAGCTGATAGTTCTGACCCACCAGGTTCCCTGCCTGAGGAGTAAAGAATTCCCCTTCCCTCAGAACAAGTAGCCCCACAACACCCAGGCCTGCAGCAGCCCTATCTTCCAGGACCCTGAGATTCTGGGATTTCTGAACTCCTCCCATGGCTGCATGTCAGGACAAAGGAAGACCCGGCTGAGGGACAGAGTGATAGTACAGCGGGTAGGGTGTTTGCCTAGCATACAACCAGCCTGAGTTTTGATCCTTGACATGTCATATGGTTTCCCAAACACTGCCAGGAGTGATTCCTGAGTACAGAACCAGGAGTAACCACTGAGCGTTGCTAGGTGTGGCCCAAAAACTTAAAAAAAAAGACCCAACTGGGAAGATAGCACAGAGGATCGGGGGCTTGCCTTGCATGTGGCTGACCCTGGTTTGATTCCTGGTACCACATAACAATTCCCTGAGTGTGACCCCCTGAGCACAGAGCCAGGAGTAAGCCCTGAGCATGGGTATGGCCCAAAAATAAGAAAACAAAAGAAGGCTCTTTAGAGTCCAGAGCTTGCGTGTCTATTGTGGTGAGAGTGGAGGCAGTTGAGTGATCCCATCTGTCTAGAGAGAGAAAATGAAAGCAGCTGGACTGGTACTGGCCTTCCGCTCAGGCTTGCTGTGGATGCCTTCCTCACTTCATAGAACCATGTTAAGCTTTTGGGCGTAGGTGTCTGTAGCACTAAGGGTGGCTGGATTTTAGGGACCAGAGTGATAGTAGTGCAGGTAGGGCATTTGCCTTTTATGTGGCTGACCCAGGTTTGATCCCTGGCACTCCATAAAATCCCCCGAGCCTGCCAAGAGTAATCCCTGAGCACAGAGCCTAGGTGTAAGCCCTGAGCACTACTGGTTGTGGCCCAAAAATAAATAAAAATAAAGTTGGCTAGATTTGATCACATAATGGTTACAATCCATGCTCCCAAGCACTTTCCATCAAGTCATTCTGTATAAGACTGCATTATCACACTTTGAGAAATAGAATCACAGATTAAGGCCACGACACCTTTTAAGAATTTAGAACTGGGGCTGGAGCGATAGCACAGCGGGTAGGGTGTTTAAAGCAAAAAAAAAAAAAAAAATTTAGAACTGAAGAAAATAAGAAGAAAAAAGAAGAAAAGAATTGAGAATTGAGAATTGAAGAGAGAAGGCAGCAGGCAGGCACTGGCCTTGCATGCCAACCTGGGTTCTATCCCCAGCATCACATACGGTCCCCTGAGCCCACCAGGGATGATCTCTGGGAGCAGAGTCAGAAATTCTTAGCAATGGCCGGAGTGGTCGCACAGTGGTTAGGGGACTTGCCTTGCACACAGCTGACCCACGTTAAATTCCTGGCAACCCATATGTTCCCCTGAACACCACTAGGAGTGATTCCTGAATGCAGAGCCAAGAGTAACCCCTGGGCACTGCTGGATATGACCCCCAAACAAACAACAACAAAGTTCTGCACCATGGGTGTGACCCAAAACTTAAAAAAAAAAAAAACTGAATCCAGGGATTGGGGAGTTTGCTCAAAGTCCAGGAACATAGGCTTGACATGCATGAGGCTCTGGTTTCAATTCCCAGCACAACATGGATCCCTGAGCACTGTCTGGTGAGGTAATATCAGAAATGGTGAGTCCAAGTCCCTCTCGCTCTGGGTCAAGCCTATTAGGAGTGATCCCAGGGGGATCCTAAGCACTGCTGGGGAAACAGAAAAAAAATGAACCCTCATAGTCCAACTGAGGGATATTAGGCTAGACTATTATAGAAAAAGACATGATCACTTTTAGTAACTCCATGTCAGTAACAAAGAAAAAAGGTACAGGACAAAAAAAAAAAGGTCCAGGACATGCAGGCTCTCAACCTTCAAGGATCTTCCTTTGACCCCAGCCAACCTAGGTGTCCCCAGACCCTGTGCTCAAGATCCCCGCAGCCTGCGGATGAAAGCTGGATCTGCATATTGGCATGTCACTGTGTCTTCTTCCCATTGTTTTATGTGCCTAAGTTCCAATTTGAGCAAAACCTTGGGGACAAAAAGCCTAAAATCCCTTCTGCTGCTTTGGCAAACTTGTAGTATCAGCCCAAATATGTTCCCTACAACCCTCAAAGAGCCAGAACTCATCTTTGGACCTAAGTTCTTTTTTTTTTTTTTTTTTTTTAATTTTAGGCCACACTTGGTGGTACTCAGTATTCCTGGCTTTCCTCTCAGGAATCACTCCTGGCAGTGCTCAGGAGACCATATTGAGTGCCAAGAATTGAACCCAGGTTAGGTGCACACGAGGCAAATGTATTACCCACTCTACTATCTCTCCGGCCCACTGAATTCTGAACCAAGGACCCCTCAGAGTGTCCAGACACCAAGAAGAACTGGGAACAACAGGCCTGTAAGATGGCCCTGGCTCCATCAAGATGAAACTGGCTGTATCCCAGGGGAGGGGAACCCCACCCCGGGCCCACGTGGGCTGTGGCTGGTAAGCATGAACCCACCCTTACAGGCTCACAGCCAACAAAGTTAGTTGAAACTGTGCTGATAGGACAGTGCCTCAGTGAACAGGGACAGATATTGGCTAAAGAGAAGTCTCATCTGGGGGGGGGCCTCTGCCAGGGGTCAGAGGGAGAGCCATGGACAGGACATCTGAGGCAGGCTAGAGGTGGGAGAGGGATGCGGCAGCACTCGGGAGTCGGCCCCATAAAACAACATGGTTATGTGTCACCACCCCCGCCTTTTTCTTGGTCTTCTCTCCCCAGGTTGCTAGCGTCCCCCCTGGGGAACCAAACTGGGCTCAACATCAGGTGGCCTGCTTCCCAGCCTCTGACAGAGGACAGGCTGAGTCAGGCAGCTAAGTGGGACACCCAGCACCCCCACCCTTTGTGAGCCCCACTGATACAGGACAGCAGGTGGCTTGAAGGGGCAGGTGACCTGGCATGGAGAGCCAAGGGGTAAGTCCTCAAACAAGTGGCAACAGGCCACCAACTTGAAAGGGAAAATTGTGCTGCGATGGGGAAGGTGGCCAACAAGCCTACTGGGTGACTAATTACACAGGCTGGGCTGAGCGTCAGAGGCCGCTCGTTAAACACCTCATTAAGTGGCACCCTGAAAGCTACCCACTGTGCATTATGGGAGCTGAAAGGGGACAGGACCCTGGGGGCCAGTAAGGACTAGGAGATAGGACCATTCCGGGTAGAGTGGAAGAAGTCTGCTTCTTCTAAAACAACCTGGAGCCCCTAATTCAGAAACCTCAATGGGAGAGAAGCCAAAGGAGGTCGGATGCACAGGACTTGCTAGCTGTGACCCACCATGGGCAAGACTCAACCCTAAGCAGGAGTCACACACCTGCCCCTCTCAGAGATAAGTTAGGTCATGGGTCGGCAGTGAATGAACTCCCCTGAGCCCTGAACCAGAGGGTCAGTGTCCCCACAGGATTAGGAACCTGCCCTCCTGCACTTGGCCTGCTGTCCCTGCCCCTCCTCCCCCCATCTGACTCAGGAAACTGGGGCGGCTCCCTGATGGGGGAGGGGGGAGTACCTATATCACAAAAGCAGGGACCAAGAGGGGGCAGCCCAGAGCCTGGCAAGGTGCCTGCACAGGTGGGGCCAACTCCTCCCGCTGACTGTCCCGATGACTCACACCCATCCAGCCCTTCTACCTGTAAGCGAGCGCTAGAAAGGGTGTGGGGAACCCAGAAGACAGGAGGCAGGCCCCGGCTCCAGTCCCGCCCTCAGCCCCTCCCCAGACTCCCCAGCCCCGCCACCCAGCCAAAAGGCAGCCAGAGAGCCGGAGAGGCACAGAGTCCAGCATCGGTCCCGAGACAGCCCGTCAGCCCCACCACCTGTCTGTCCCCAGAGCCATGGAGAGAGCCAGTCTGATCCAGAAGGCCAAGCTGGCAGAGCAGGCCGAGCGCTATGAGGACATGGCAGCCTTCATGAAGAGCGCCGTGGAGAAGGGTGAGGAGCTCTCCTGCGAAGAGCGGAACCTGCTCTCCGTGGCCTACAAGAACATGGTGGGCGGCCAGCGGGCAGCCTGGAGGGTCCTGTCCAGCATCGAGCAGAAGAGCCATGAAGAGGGCTCGGAAGAGAAAGGCCCTGAGGTGCAAGAGTACCGGGAGAAGGTGGAAACGGAGCTGCGGGGCGTGTGTGACACCGTGCTGGGCCTGCTGGACAGCCACCTCATCAAGGAGGCCGGGGATGCCGAGAGCCGCGTCTTCTACCTGAAAATGAAGGGCGACTACTACCGCTACCTGGCCGAGGTGGCCACCGGGGACGACAAGAAGCGCATCATTGACTCAGCCCGTTCCGCCTACCAGGAGGCCATGGACATCAGCAAGAAGGAGATGCCGCCCACCAACCCCATCCGCCTGGGCCTGGCCCTGAACTTTTCCGTCTTCCACTATGAGATCGCCAACAGCCCCGAGGAGGCCATCTCACTGGCCAAGACCACCTTCGACGAGGCCATGGCTGACCTGCACACCCTCAGCGAGGACTCCTACAAGGACAGCACCCTCATCATGCAGCTGCTGCGAGACAACCTGACGCTGTGGACGGCCGACAACACGGGGGAAGAGGGGGGTGAGGTTCCCGAGGAGCCCCAGAGCTGAGCCCGCCCGCGTCTCCCTGCCCTGCCCTCCCCAGTCCCCCACCCCCGCAGAGAGGACTCAAGGGGTGGGAGGCCCCTGTGCCCTGCTCAGAACCAGCTCCCTGAGCAGGACCGACAGAGCCAAGGCCTCTGGGGCAGAGGAGCCCCTTCCTGTGGTGCTCCCATCCCACCCGATCCTGCTCTCTGCACCCCAGTTTTGGAGACCCACCCCACAATCTGGCCACTTCCCCCCATCTTGACTCCCATCTGCCTTCGGATCTTAGGAATTGAGGAGTGTCCCACCCTTGTGGCTGAGAACTGGGCTGGAGCGTGTGTGTGTGTGTGTGTGTGTGTGTGTGAGAGAGAGAGAGAGAGAGAGAGAGAGAGAGAGAGAGAGAGAGAGAGAGAGAGAGAGAGAGCTGGAACGAGAGGAAAAGCATGTCTGCTGGGTGTGGCCGTGTTTCCTCTCAATAAAGTTCCCTGTGACACTCCTCCTGTCTTTGCCGGTTATTGGCGGAGGGCTGAGGCTGGGACTGGGGTATGATTTACAGAGACCCTGATTTTGGACCTTCGTTTTAGGATCCTGACTCGCTCTCCCCCCACCCGCGGCTGGCTCCGCAGGCAAGAACCTGAGGCGGGGAACTGCAGGCGAGGCTGGGAGCTCGGCCCTCCCTCATAGATTGGCACAGAAGTAAGCGGGTCAGGTCTCTGGAGGGTCAGGGCCAGCGCAAAAGCGGCCAAGGAGGGGGGGAGCTGGGAGGGAGGCAGGAGTTGAGATCCGAGGAGACAGGTAATTAGTGAGGCCTCGGGTATAGGCGAGTGGCACTCAGTGTCAGTGGCACTGAGCACCCCAGATGTGGACATGGGGAACAGTTCCACAGGGGCTCAGACTTGGATGCTAGGAGAACGATATGAGGTGCCGTGTAACGCCTCATTAACCGCCTACATCAGCGGAGAGGGGAAATTCCCCACGGAGATAGGAGATTGGGACAAAAAAGAAACGAGTCGGATACGAGGAGCAAACGGGATGGGAAGGGCCGGTCCAAGCCAACTTAGCTTGTCGTCGCTGCTGGAAGCGGAGGAAGCTGTTAGCTGCCGGGCGAACCTTTACTGCTGGGGGTGAGGGGCTGGAGGCGGGCCCAAGGCAGATGCTACCCAATCATGGGAAGAAGCTGCTTGGAGGGCCCACCCTCGGAGCCTGCCTGGCCAATGGGAAAGTGAGAGGCAAATGCGCGCGCGGTACGTCTTTCCGCCTGCCCACGGCCCCGCCGGCTCAGCGCCGCGCTCTCCGACGGAGGGCCCCTGCACCCACCGAGGGCCTGGGCGGCGCTTTCCCGGTTTCAGTCAGACAAGTTCTCACCCGCCCCGAGAGCTCAGCATCCTCAGAGCAGCGGGCCGGGGCGGGGCCCGTCCTCGCCCTTTGAGTCATCCCCTCAGGCAGCGGGGCCTGGGCCGGGCTGGCGGGCCACCTGGGCGTCCCCACCACCGTCGAGAGTCCGGGCAGCCCTGCACCCGAGCGTGTCCCGGAGTCGGGGTGGGAGCTCGCAAAGCCGGTCTCATCCCCGGGACCTCGGTTCCCCTTCTGGATTTTCTTTCCTTCCCCCACTCTTGCCCGTCCCGAGGCCCCATCGCCGGCCCCTTGAGTACTCTCCCAGAGGACCGCGAGGGCTCAGACTCAGGCGAACTACTGGTTCTGAGGCCAACTAGGGCGTCGATTGCCAGCACTGCCAGCCTGCCTTGACCAAGCTGCTCGGTGGGGATTCAAGGTGTGTTTGGGAGTCAGCTGCGAAGTTTGAGGCCGGTGATGCCGACCTCCGAATTCAGGACCTGCGGGATGCGTTTGCGTGCCCAAAAGCCCGCGCGTCGGACCACGACGTCCCAGCTTTTCTGACAGAGCTGACTAGAGAGCTTCCTGCACAGCGCCACGGTGCTGGCCTGGTATCAAGCGGTCACTCCACCCGGCCATCAGGGGAAACTCAGCCCAGCCTCATCAGGTTCCCCAGTCCTAGTTCGGTCACACCCCGGGGACATAAAATTGAGGGATTCTTAGCAGAGCTTTTGACTCTCCACGAGAAGTTGGCAGGACCCCTGAGATGCGGGCTGGCTCTGATTTTCTTCCCGCTTTGCCTGGCAGTGTGTTGAATTTCAGAGTGCCAAACTGGGTAGAAACTCTGGGCTAGTATTAGTGACACCCCCATCAGTTTGGGAGGTGACCCCATTTCTCTTACCATACAGGTCTGGTGACTCTAATGGGTTAGGTTCCGGGGAAAGGAATTTCTTTTTTCTCATAACCTCTGTCTTGCCCACACTACTCATGATTGCCCTATATGGGAAGAAGTAAGCTCCCCTAAAGTAACATGCATCAAAGTGGCCTTGCCTCTCTGGGAATATACTTAGACTGGCTGACCCGTATGGTCACGCCTCAGGCCCAGGTGGGAAGTTGTTCAGGGACAGGGCCAGGCAATGCCAGGGATTGAACTCTGGGCCTTGCAGGCACTTCAGCCCTAAGAGCTATCTTCATAGTCCATCTATATATTTGTTTGTTTATTTTTAGTTTTTTTTGTGTTTTGAGGCCACACCCAACTGTGTTCCCGGCTTAGCTCTGTTCATGGATTACTTGGGTGGTGGTGGGGAGGGGGTGTTGCCAGGTTCTAGACCATATTTGGTGCCTGGGATCAAATTCAAGTCAGCTGCATGCAAGAAAACACCTTAATGCCTGCACTGTCTCCCCAGTACTTGTTTTTAGTTTTTGGGTCATACTTAACAGTGCTCAGGGGTTACTCCCACCTCAGTGTTTTGGGAATGGGTGCTGACAGTGCTACATGCTGTATGGCATTAAACCTGAGTCTCCCAAGTGCTCAGCCCTTTAAGCTACAACTTTTCCCCATATACGCTTAAAAAAAAAAGGCATTTAGCTCAGTGTTAGAGCATTTGTGTAGCATGTGTAGGGTCCTGTGTTCAAACCACAGCACCACAAATAACAAAAACCCACCTCTCTAAAGCTTTTACACTGTTTACTCAGGTGGGGTGTCAGTGAATCAACTTTTTCTTGACTTTATTAAAAAGCTTTCAGGGGCTAGAGCAATAGTATAGCAGAAAGGGCCTTTGCCTTGCATGTGGCAGACATAGGTTTGATTCCTGGCACCCATATGGATCCCCTGAGTACTACTAGGAGTAATTCCTGAGTGCAGAGCCAGGAGTAACCCCTGAGCACTGCCAGGCGTGACCCAAAAAGTGAAATAAAAAAATGAAACTCAAAGCTCAAACCTTTCAGAAGGGCTGGAGAGAATGTTAACAAGGAGGGAAATGCTTACCTTATACACAGTGATTCAGGTTTGATTCCTAGCACCATATATCACACTCCCACACCCATCACCACCAGGAGCAATCCCTGAGCACCACTAGGTATGATGCCTGAGTGATCCCTGAATGCAGAGTCAGGAGTAAGCCCTTAGCACTGCTGGGTGTGGCCCAACCCCCACACACCCCCAAAACTCCAAATTTGATCTGTAGACCCGCAGGAGTAGGAGAAGAGAGAAGGCACTGGGGTCAAGCAGGTTACCATGCCCTGCTTGTAGAAGCTTCCAGAAAGTCAAGACAAGCACGAGTATGCACACACACTTCATCACACACATCAACATGCCCAGTACCTTTTCAGAAAAAAGCTAATTTCATAGCTGATTGCACCAAGATGTTCTTCTGCCCACTCCTGCTTCTTTCAGAGAACAGAGAACAGTAAGGTAACAATAGCAGTTGGGATAACTACTATGTGGCAGATAGTTTCAATTCTTAATCCTCACAGAAATGTATTATCATCCCTGTTTTGCATATGAAGAGACCAAGGTTTAGAGCAGCTAAATAACCTTATAACCAAGGCTTTACAAGTAGTTGGGTACCTGGGGAGGTGAATGGGTATAACTCCAAGGTCCAGGATTTTAAAACTGCAACAGCTGTTTCCAAACTGTTCAGGGAGTCCTCAGAAGCTGCAGTTGGGCAGGAGTCCAGCAGGAGGGTTTCCTACAGTGGAGCTAAAATAGCCACACATATGTCTGTTTTAGGTATTGGAGTTTCATGAGTTAAAAATAAGATAGAAAAGAACCACATAATACTATGCTTTCCTGATCCTCTTGAACTTTTTAAGAATCAAAAGAAATTTTTCTTGGGGCTGGAGTGATAGCACAGCAGGCAGGGCATTTGCCTTGCACGCGGCCGACCCAGGTTCAATCCCCGGCATCCCATATGGTCCCCCAAGCACCACCAGGAGTAATTTCTAAGTGCAAAGCCAGGAGTAACCCCTGAGCATTGCTGGGTATGACCCAAAAAGAAAAATAAATTGTTCTTGCACTGAGGATATGGCCCCATGGTAAAACACACGCCTCAGATATGTGTCACTCTGGGTTCAATTCCTGCACTGAATAAGGAAAAAGAGGACTGGGGATGTAGCTCAGTGATAACTTGTATTTTTTTTTTTTTTTTGGCTTTGGGGCCACACCTGGCAGTCCTCAGGGCCAATTCCTGGCCCTATGCTCAGGAGTCATTCCTGTGTTCAGAGGACCATATGGGGTTTTGGGGATCAAACCTAGGTTGATTCGCCTGTTAGGCAAGTGCTTTATCCACTGTACAATCTCTCTCAGGCCCTATAACTTGCCTTGCATATCTGCGGCTCTGGTTTCAATCCCCAGCACTGAAGGGAGGAAGGGACTAATTTTGCCCTCAAAGGAAAGCCACGCAGAGCAGGCAGAAAGGAATTGTCTTACATTTAAAGAAACAAACTGTGGTGGACCAGGTGCTGGCTCACTTACTAAGTGTAGGTTTCCTTAACCTGGTTACATCTTTTGTTCCTTTTCAGTTCTTCACCCTGCTTGCAGGGTTACCCCATCCCCCACCCCTGCTGTGCGTGGGGGGTGAGGAAGGCAGGTTTCTACAAGGTAGGTCCCCCCTCCTCTTTGAACCCCCTTGGCCCTACCTACCCACTGAGTCAAAAGCCAGGAATGTCTGTGGGGGCAGCAGACAGGTATGTCACCGTGGGGGAGTCAGAGGCTGATTCATCCCAACCCCACCCAATCTCCCTGCTGCTCTCTGGGAAATTTAACTGCTTATTTGTCTAGAGATAGGGAAATCTCAGACTCTGAAAAGCACCAGTCTTCAATATGGGGTTATAAACGGTATATATCAGATTATGGTATTCAGTAAAGACTTCCTAAAACAGAAGGAAGGAGCTGAAGAGATTATACAGGGTTTAAGTCTCTTGCCTTGCATGTGGCCAACTCTTGTTTGATCCTCCCCAACACAGCATTGCTCCCAAGCACTGCTGGGAGAGAGCCCTGAGCATGGAGCCCAAGTAGCCACTA